GTAATGATATATTATAGTTTGTGTGTGTGTGTGTGTAGTGTTGGTTGGGTACAATAATGTGATATTTGGGACTACTTTACTTTAATATATTTTATTGATTTTATACAGAGAGGAAGGGAGAGAGATAGAGAGCTAGAAATGTCGATGAGAGTCATCGATCAGCTGCCTCTTGCACACCCCCTACTGGGGATATGCCCGCAACCAAGGTACATGCCCTTGACCGGAATCAAACCCAGGTCCCTTCAGTCCCCAAACCGACGCTCTATCCATTGAGCCAAACCGGTCTTGGCTGGGACTACTTTACTTTTAAATCAAGCATGTCAAACAGTCTGTGGGCAGTATGCAGCCCACAACAAATATTTTTGCAGCCCATCCAATACAATGGTATGTAAGATGCGTTTTAATAAAATTTTTGTAACTTAATTTTTTCAATATCCTGCCTGTTGTACATAATTATTAATAACAAATTACAACATTCGCTGATGACTGATTACTATAATTGTGTTGCATTCATTTCTCTTATTCACCTTATGCGCAGGCGCACCATTTCTCTCCACTAATACTAGCAGAGAATATTTTAGCAGCCGATTGCCACGTCATTAGTCTTGGACTGACTTGTTTGGTGTGCATGATAGGAAATGTTTCACTTTGGAGAACAAGAAAAATAGGTTTATTTGTGTTACTCTTATTAATTTTTGCAGTTATTCAGTGTATAAGTTAATGTTCAAGAAAAATATTAACTTTTATTAAAATGTCCTATTATTTTATGTTAATGATTACTCATTTACTTCAGCCCTTTGTATTCAGCATGTCTCTATCAAAATAAAACTACATTTCTATGAAAATTAAAGCTTTTGTTTTTTTGTGGCCCACATAAACTTAAACCTGTTTATTTGGCACATGATAGCCTTTGAGTTTGACATGCTTGCTTTAAATTATAGCTTTATTCTTAAATAGAAGTACCTTTAAATTATTAAAATGATAGCAAATGTAGCTGAGGAAATAACCTTTTTTAAAAATATATATTTTATTGATTTTTTACAGAGAGTAAGGGAGAGGGATAGAAAGTTAGAAACATCGATAAAAGAGAGACATCGATCAGCTGCCTCCTGCACACCACCTACTGGGGATGTGCCTGCAATCAAGGTCACAGTATGACTGGAATTGAACCTGGGACCTTTCAGTCTGCAGGCTGATGCTCTATCCACTGAGCCAAACTGATTAGAGCTGAGGAAATAACCTTTTAATGCATATTTTAGCATTGTAGATTTGGGCTCAAAAGACTATTTTAGCTCTGACCTGTTTGGCTCAGTGTATAGAACATCAGCCTTCAGACTGAAGGGCCCCAGGATTGATTCTGGTCAAGGGCATGGACCTTGGTTGCAGGCTTGATCCCCAATAGGGGGCATACTGGAGGTGGCTGATCAGTGTTTCTCATTGATGTTTCTAACTCTATTCCTTTCCCTTTATCTCTGTAAAATCAGTAAAATACACTTTAAAAAAAAGAGACTCTATTTGAATATTGACAGTGTAGTCATGAGTTAGCCAGACTTGCATGACTGAAGCTGCTGATTACTAATCTGTATATATATTTGAGTTTACATTTGGAGGTCTGTATTTTATACAGTTAATGTTTAAAGTAAATATGTAATATGTTTAGGTAGTTGCCATGTTTTGATCTTAAAGAACACTTAATCTTTGTAATTTGTGTCAAACTACAGTATTCCATAATGTATTTAAGAGTATGGATGGTTCTATATACCTTTGGTTTAAACAAATATAATGATATACTTTGAAAAATAATTATATGTGACATTTATTCAAGGGAGTTAAAATTGATCTACTTATAGTTCTGCAAGGTTTTTGTTTTCAGTTTTTAGATTTAGATTTTTAAAGTTGATTTTTAGGGAGAAAGAAAGGGAGAGGGAGGGAGAGAGAGAGAAACATCAATATAAGAGTGAAATATCGGCCGAGATCGGTGTGGCTCAGTGGATAGAGCGTCGGCTTGGGGACTGAAGGGCCCCGGGTTTGATTCCAGTCAAGGGCATGTACCTTGGTTGCGGGCACCTCCCCAGTAGGGGGTGTGCAAGAGGCAGCTGATCGATGACTCTCATCGATGTTTCTAACTATCTCTCTCCCTTCCTCTCTGTACAAAATCAATAAAATATATATTTTTTTAAAAAGAGTGAAATGTCGATGTGAGAGAAGCATATCGGTTGGTTGCCTCCTGCAAAACTGAGATTGGGTGGAGCTCACAACCTAGGCATGTGCTCTGTTGGGGAATTGACTAGTAACCTTTCCATTCATGGGACTGTGTCCACCAACAGCCACAGCCAGGCCTAGATTTAAAGTTTTATTTACTTTTGTTGTGTATCCTTGCCCAAGGATATTTTTCCATTCACTTTTAGAGAGAGGGAAAGACAGAAACATTGATGTGAGAGAAGCATATCAGCTGGTTGCCTCCTGCACAAACTGGGAAGGAGCCTGCAACCAAGGTATGTGTTCTTGACCAGAATTGAACCCAGAACCCTTTGGTCTGCAGGCCGATGCTCTATCCACTGAGCCAAGCTACCTACGGCTAGACTTAGATTTTTTTTTTTTAAACATCAAAGCTTATCTAAGAAATCGATACACTGATGAGGTAGACATCATATACATATTCAGAATTTTAAATAAAATAACTTGTCAGTCAGTTTTAGTGATTCATATTTCCCATATGATTTCTGATTCTCTTTTTCTGATCCTTCCTAAAGATCTTTCTCCTTTCAGTGTTATTGGGAGGAATGAAAGGAGATATTGATAGAAAGATTCTGATGTTTCTAAATATTTCACTCATAACAATGTTTTTCTTCTATATAAATGTTTCCTTTACCTTTAATATTGTAAAAAAAAAAAAAAAAAAAAAAAAAAAAAAAAAAAAAAAAAAAAAAAAAAAAAAAAAGAAGAAGAAGAAGAAAAAGAAGAAGTTTTTAAAAACTTTTCTGGGCATGGACCGTACCTGGGAGTGAGGGATGGTGAAAAGAGAACAATTTATCTTCATTACTATGATAACATTTTTATACCAGAGTGCTGTGAAATACCCCTTAAAATGTGTTTAGTCAAATGATTCTTGAAGGTTAGAGAAAGTATGTATATATTGGGGTGGAGGGTATATATTGATTCATGTCTACTTATTAAGCTAGCTTATTCTAGCATTGTTTGATATGCTGAAAGGTATGAAATGGAAAATTGATTATTGCCCGGGCTTTGAAAATATTTTATGCTATTCCAACATTTAACAGATTTTAAACAAAGACTTCTTTTGTGCTATAAATTAAAGTTAATACCTAAGTAAAAGAAAATATAATTGTGGACTTATTAATGCTAGGAAATATTCTAAACACTACATGTGTTATTTCTTTCAGTCCTCACAGCAACCCTATTAAATAGGTACTGTTATAAGATCCTGTGCATTAGAGAGAATTGTCCTAAAGCAATCCCAGTTTCAGGAACTGGAATAACATTAGGCAAGTATGCTTTTCATCCAGAAGTATTGTTGCTCCTTTAGTTGCCTTAGTGCCTTCACATGTTCTGGCAACTATTCTCAAGAGACTCCCATTCGGTAAAACATCTTGCAATTACTGTGTGATTAAAGAGTGGATTCAAATAGGTCACCAATTTCCTATAACATTAATAATTCATTTTGGAAAATAACCTCCCCTCTTTGTCAGCTGTTTCCTATTTTCTCCTCTAGTTGACATCCTGTAGGTGGATGGCTAAGGAGAGGTGGGACGAGGAGATACCAGGAAATGAACTGGAATCCCAGGCTGCAGGGATAATAGGATGCTCCACTGCACTTCATTTTGCTTTTCATGAAATAGTGTAACTGTTCAGTCTAAGCTTTAACTTTACCTAGAAGTATTTTACTAAAGAATTGGTATGTTTACATTATTGCTTTTTAAAAAATATATATATTTATTGATTTCAGAGAGGAAGGGAGGAGAGATAGAAATATCAATGATGAGAGAGACTCATTGATCTGCCTCCTGCATGCCCCCCACTGGGGATTGAGCCTGCCACTCAGTCATGTGCCCGGATCAGGAATCGAACCATGACCTCCTAGTTCATGGATGCTCAACCATTGAGCCACACTTGCCAGGCTACATTACTTCTTGAATTAAGAGGGCTCTTTATAAACTTGTATATAATAATAGCAAGAATCAAAGAATAAGGTATTTGGGGGAAATCATCTTCCTGAATATTCACTATGGTTACAGAGCTTCAGTGCTTAAAGAACAACAAAAATGATTCAACCCTTCAAAAGCATCATTTCCTGTTATTTAATAACAGAAACAATTACAGCTTTTATTAAATTTTTGTGATTGGTTTAACTCTGAGTAATATGCCACATTTGGACACAAATCTGAGTTTTCAGAGAATGATTTCACCCTGGGTGGTTTGGCTCAGTGGATAGAGCATGGGCCTATGGACTGAAGGGTTATAGGCTGGATACCCGGCCCTGGTTCACACCAAGGGGGAGGCAACCTATCAATGTATCTTTCTCATATCCATGTTTCTCTCTGTGTGCCTCTCCCCCTTCCACTCTCAAAATAAGAGAGAAAATATTTTCTAGTGAGGATTGACCAAAAAAAAGGAGAGAGAATGATTTTCAGTTTGGTTTTTACAATTTAATGTTTCACAATGCACTGATTAAAAAGCCATTTGGTCTGTAGCTTTCTTGCAAAAATGAAATAGTTAAATACCAGTCATTCTATTAGATACTACATGTTTAGGAGTACCAGGGGTTTATTTAAGTAGTACTGGCTTATTGCCAGCATTAGTTACCACTACATTCAACTCAATAACACAGTAAGTTAGGATGCAGATATCAGTAGGTTTATATGTAAACATAGAAACGTCTCTTTTTTTCTCTCTGTGAATTCAAACTTCACTTTTATTTTTATTTTTTAAATATTTTTTATTAAATTATTATTTTTGTACATATACCAATGCCCCCCCCCCATATACCCTCCCTCCCCAGAGTTTTTTGTGTCCATTAGTTGTACTTATATGCATGTATACAAATCCTTCGGTTGATCTCTTATCTCCCCCAGATCTCCCCAACCTCCCTGCTATAATTTGACAGTCTGCTGAAACATGTATCTTTTCAACTCTTTAAGTTGTCTTTCATAACTTTTGTGTGGTAAATTTTTACAATTCCCAATTTTCTTATCTTAGCTTTCCTATTATATACTGTTTATATTCACAATTTGAACATTTTTATTGAAAACAGTATCATAATTTGGTTGTTTTATATAATATAGAATTTTTAAAGTATAGTTTCCATTTTTAGTGTTTCTTACTAATATTGGGTTTGGCATTTAGATAATTCTTTTAAAGTTTCTACGAGGAAATTAATTTTTTTCAAAGTTACATTTATTTTTTTAAAGCCAAGGCATAAACTTTAAAATTTCTGAAGACTGCATCATCTTCTCTAGAATAATAATAAAGTAATATTACTTTTTTTGTAGGGGATGGCAGATAGGTACTTTGGACCCGTTGGTAATGATGGCCTGAGCTAAACTCCTAATTTGAAGGGACACCCTTCCGCATCAGAGCACAGAATGCTGAGGAAGCTATGGCAAGTATGTGTTCCGATGCTTTGGTAAAGTACTGAATGTACTCACTCCAGATCCCGTGACACTCTCTTTGGCTCAGGTTTTAAAAGCTTTTTTTAAATGAACACAGATATAGTCCTCACACTTTTGTAAGAAATGTACATTCAGACTTTAAAAATACAGGAAGATTGGCTGCTTCAATTTAAACAGAAACAGCATCATACATCATAATACGTCTATGTGCTATATTTTAATCGATATTTGCTGAAATCCTTTGTTTCAGGCACTATAACAGTGATAACAAGACAAATGAAGGTCATGAGGGCAGAGACATTTTGTGTGGGGAAATAGTTCCAGAAATTTCACTGTTTTTTGGTGTGTTTTTTTGCCTATATCCAGAAAAGTGCTTCAAGAACAACTCCTGAAAATATATTTTCAATATATAGTCTAGTAGTAATAATTACGTATAATTATAAAATTAGGATATTAAAAATTAAATAATATAGGTTAAACATACCCCAATTTAAATATTTAAATAGATTTTTACATAATTACATGTATACTTTATTTATCTGATATATTGCTTTTATAAGAAGCATTAGATTACATAGTATATTGTTTGAAATATTTATACTTTAGTTCAATTTTTTTTAGATGATTTTCAAAAGTACTAAGAAAGTTTACATAACCATTAATATGGTGGTTCGCTTTTAATTTTAAAAATTGAATTCTTACAAGTTGACATTACCAATCTAATTTCTGTCATATTTCAAAATATTTTTTAAAATTGAATGATTATATCCTGAGGGAAATAGGTAACAACTACTATATTTTGTCAAAGGGAAGATAACAGACAGATGAATGGTTTTCCAGCTTCTTGATGATAATCTCACTGGGAATCAAGAATAGCATTCTTGTGTTAGACCGTGTGTAGTCTGTGAAAGACTTAACACACCTCTTTGAGAAAAGAAGGGGAAAGCTATTTCAGCAGAAAATTACTTTTGGATCATATAAACTTAAGTAAAGATAGGAGATTTCATTATAGTTCTAGTTTTTATATCACTCTTAATAGGTTACATACCTACTGACTTCGCAGGAGAAGGCAGCAAACCAGGATGTTAGTGTCCTGGAGACCTTTCAAAAAGACATTTCACTCCTCAAATCTGGAGGCAGAGCTTGCCAGAGAAATCTGTCCAGCTTGGATTCTTCCTTTAATCATTAGCAGTATTAAGGTCAGCTTTCTCAGGTGGAAAAAAACAGGAACGAGGATAGAGTTACTAAACCTGTAAGCCTTAATTAGCATTAACAAAGGGATCTTCTGAAATTAGATTATCTTTGGCCATAATTTCTTAGATGCTTTCATTTTTGTCATATTCGTTCCTGCCTATATTCATCTTAATACTTGAATTTTGATTGTCTTGAGACCACTTTGGAAATTTACTTAATAATTCTAGGTTACAGAAAATTTAAAAAATATTTGTTGTCAGAGTTCTTATTTAATTTTAAAAAATAACTGCTGTTCCTGAATATTTTTACATTTTGGCTTTTAAAAAATGCCTCAAGTGTGTAAAGGCTAAAATCTGATACTTAATAAAAAATATCCTCTTAGATTTTTTTTTTGACATGGTAGATATCCTTTGTTTTAATTTGATCCCATTATTCTTTGTTTCTACAATAATATTATTTCAGGCATTCTGTGATTTTGATGGATTTCTGACTTCTGGTTTGAATACAAACATGTACAAGTAAGTATTTTCAGCTGGCTAAACAGAACTCTGACTCAAAGAGGGAGAAGTGAAACTAAGTAAAATAAAGAGTTCAAAAGCTTTTCAGTGTATGTATGAATATTTAGTCCAAAGGATTCTCAGTTTGTATATTTTAGCCACCCTAAGAACAGTTTTATTTAGTTGGTACTAGGTCAAAACTAACATGATCCTTAAAAATTATAGTTATATTCTAAATGTTCTTATTTGACCCAGAATTGGTATAAAAAACAAAGTTTGTTTTTATTCACATAAAACTTTACCAAAATAACATGCTTTTGTGGCTAAGTAGGCCAATAAACTGCTATCTGTTAATAATTTAATTTGAAGTATAAGACAGCCAAAAAAATAGAGGCTTGGAAAATTCAGTGTAGCTATAACTCTGCTTAATTATAAACAACGTTGAACTTTTTTTTTTTTTTTGGTACTAAGCATAAAATTTGAAGCAATCCACTCACTTTTTATAGTGTATACCATTGAGAATTTATATTTTAAACTCTTTAAAAATGTAACACCATTAAAGTATAGTTTTCTCTTGGAACAGAAATAATGATTCCAAGTTCAAATTTGCATTTGCCTTCTTATAAAGACTAATGCTTTGAATGAATTTATCTCCCTTCTTTTAGTCTTACATAGACCACAAATTTAGATATACATTGTTCATGCATAAAACTGATTTGTTACAACAGAATTATGGATGTTGGTAAATATTTGTTGAATATTCATTGTGCCATTTTATTTGGTAGGATGTTTGATAATTAAGGATGTTTTAATATTCTAATGTCTGACGTGATTTTATTAATAAGGATTTTACCATTGAAAGTAATCTACCATAAAGCAAGCACAGTTGTTTTTTTATAGCTCCTCTGTAAATGAGTGTTTAGTAAGGTAAAATGTATGTTATAATATACAATACAGATATATTTTAAAGGTGGGGCCTTGATAGGCACTGTATTGGGCCCTGGGAAGAGCTAAACAGACATTCTTTCTGACCATGTAAGAAGAATTGCTATTAGAACTGCCCCAAATTTTTATACTGTGATGAAGTAAATTTTGCTTTCATTGAATGCTTTTCTGGAGAGAAATTTTGTTGTGATAATTTTGACGGGTTTACGATCATGAATTGATTAAGGAGCAGCCTACCTTCAGGAAAAGAGCCAGGATGCAGCTAGGACCATGGAAATTGGCTTGGCCTAGATCTACACCCTGGAGATTATGGTGCTCTTTTTTTTTTTTTTAATTTATTTTATTTAATTTATTTATTTTTTAATATTTTGTTGATTTTTTACAGAGAGGAAGGGAGAGAGGTAGAGAGCCAGAAATGTTGATGAGAGAGAAACATCAACCAGCTGCCTCCTGCACACCCCCCACTGGGGATGTGCCTGCAGCCAGGATACATGCCCTTGACCGGAATTGAACCCGGGACCCTTCAGTCCACAGACCAACGCTCCATCCACTGAGCCAAACTGATTTTGGCCATGGTTGCTCTTGAGGGTTCTTAGAACCAGTCTGGCTTCTCAGACCTGGGGCGGGAGCTCCAAAAAATATCTGGAAAACACCTGAATGCTATACAAAAATGACCATAGAAGTATTTTAATTTATTTGCAATTTTAAGGCCTTAAAACCATTGTTTGTTATATTTTGTAATAAAGCAATAACAATATTAAAGAAAATTTGTAAAGACCACACACAAAATTTACCTATTTTGTGAAAATTTTATTTTTTTTATATTCTCTCGTCTTTGTCCACATGTAAATGGATAATTTTTTATATTTCTTTACTCTTTTGATGATAATTTTTTAAAAATTTTTTTATTGATTTCAGAGAGAAATGGAGAGGGAGAGAGAGATACAAACATCAATGATGAGAGAGAATCATTGATTGGCTGCCTCCTGCACGCCCCCTACTGAGGATCGAGTCCACAGCCTAGGCCCTTGGCTGGAATAGAACCCGAGACTTTTCAGTGCTTGGGCCCACACTCTATACACTGAGCCAAACCAGTAGGGCTTGATTGATCAGTTATTTTTTTCAAATATTTCTCAACTGAAAGATTAACTAAAAATGGTTTTCAAACATAATTATATTTACAATGTTGGGTCCATTTAGCATATAATTTTTCCTTGATTGGCAGACTTCATTTTAATTGTGTTTTAATTGCAAAGCCACTTCACTACTCAGTTGTGCAACTGAACTCTAACCCCCTTTAACAGGTAGATAGTGCAAGGTTCCCCAGATTGATTTTTCGTTCTGTTTCCAGTTAACCTTCAAATAGAGGATAAGATGTATGTCAGCTAACAGTGATTTCTGTATGGCAATTTCCCTGTCCCAGCCCTACTGCACTTGAATGACAAGGACATGAATTGGAAGCACACCATAGAATTTCTTATTCTGTATTTTTACCCCTTCTCTGCTTTTTCATTCCCTTTGTGTGGATTGTCAGCTGATTAAGTTCCTTGAGAGAGAGAGAAAGCAAGGGAGAGAGAATATTACTAAATAAATAGTATTGCTTCATCTTCCAAAAGAATTTTTCAGGAACTGGAAAATAGTATTAACTAGTTACGTAGTATCAGAGTATATGAAGCATTTTATTTTGATCAGCCTCTCAAGTAGATATTTCTATTCTTATTTTCTTCAGGGCAGCCTTCTCTGTGTCTTTTCTAGAAACCTCCTACAATGTGCTCATACAGTTCCTGATACTTCCTCTCTTGTTGCATTGATAATAGTTATTCTAGTTACTATTATTGCGTGTTTTTTGGTAGAAAAACCAGCAAGAACTTATTAACCATAGCAAAAATATACTTAGGGCAGTGAAACAAGGAAGGGCATAAGAAGGAGCAACAGGAGAGCCTAAGCTGGGCTGCTTTGGCTCCTGGGAAGTCAGAGAAAAGGGGGAAAATGGGCATTGGAGACAGGTTTGTGGGGTTAACTCAGGATGAGCTGCCACTGCCCATTGCTCCCCTGGTTGCAAGTCTCATGGGGGTCCCTTAGAGTTTAGAAGATACCTGCTGGGGGTATGGGAGGGGTTGGAGAGGTGGAAGGGAATGTCATGGGTGTGCTCCATGGAGAGATAGTGCATCTAATTATTTACTGACTCTTCCTTGCTCAACTGCTACCCTGTTTCCCCGAAAATAATTTTTTCTCTCAAAGTTGCGCTAGGTCTTATTTTCAGGGGATGTCTTATCTTTCTATGCGCTAGGTCTTATTTTCGGAGGATGTCTTGTTTTCGGGGAAACCCGGTAGTACCTGACAGACCAGAGACTATTTGTCTTGGTCACTGCAGTATCTCTAGTGCTTAATATTAGGTCTAGTAATAATTAATGTCGTTTTCTAATACTTTTTTTAAATCGAATTTATTTAAACAATACAACAAAATTTAATCAACAATATAGTTGCCGTTGTTTTCTACTACTTGTGCCCAACACTCAGGAAGCATTTTAATCCCTCTGTTGTAAAATTCTTGTGATTTTGATGCAAAAAATTCGGTCAATGCATTTTTGAGGCATTCTTCATTATTAAATTTTTTTCCAAGAAGAAAGTTTTGCAAAGAATGAAACAAATGGTAATCGGAAGGGGCAATATCAGGAGAATATGCAGGTTGAGGGAGAACTTCCCATTCCAACTGGCGCAGTTTTTCAGCAGTGATTCTTGCAGTATGCGGTCGTGCGTTATCGTGGTGAAGAATTACGCCCTTCTGATTAATCAGCGCGGGTTCTTTTTCTCTTAAAGCTTGGGCTAACCTTTCCAATTGGGCACTATACACTGCACTTGTAATGGTTTGGTTAGATGGTAAAAGTTCATAATGAAGAATTCCTTTAAAATTCCACCAAACACACAACATCACTTTTTTCGCATGCAAGTCAGGTTTTGGCGTGGGCTGCGGAGCCTCATTTTTGTCTAACCATTGAGGCCGCCTTTTCAAATTAACATACAGCACCCATTTTTCATTTCCGGTAACAAATTGCTCTAAAAACAGCAAACGGTTTTGACGAGAGAGGAGCGAACTGCAAATTGTGACTCTTTGATTACGGTTGTTGTCGGTCAACTCATGAGGAACCCATTTTCCAAACTTTTGGACTTTGCCAAGTGCATGCAATTGATTGGAAATTGTTTTTTGTGAACAATTTAAAGTTGTCGCAAGCTCTTGTTGGGTAATTTGAGGATTTTGTACCAAAAGAGCTTGAAGAGCTTCTTGATCAAAATTGGACACACGGCCTCGACCACTCTTATCATCTAACGAAAAATTTCCCTCGCGAAATTTCTCAAACCAACGCTGGCATTTTCTGGCGCTAACTGCATCTTGACCAAGAGCACTACAGATGTTTTTTGCAGCCTCACTTGCTTTTCTTCCTAATTGGAACTCGTAAAGCATGCAGTGCCGAATATGCTCTTCATCCGCCATCTTCTTAGCCCTAGTTTTGCAACAAAAACCAAACCAAACACAAACTTTTTCAAGCAAAACTTGTTAATTGCACTTCACACGTTCTGTAGATACCACGTGTTTGAAGGTTATGTCAATACAAGTCAACGCCAAGCAAGATTTTAAACGAATGTTGAAAAACGACATTAATTATTACTAGACCCGATACAATGCCTGGCACATGATTGATATTCAACAAATAGTTGTTGGGTGAATTTGTTGAATTGGTGTTGAATTGTATGTGCTCTTTATAAATTTTGAATATTAACCCCTTATCCTATGTATATCTTTGATTTTTTGGTATTAGTAGACTCCAATTAATATAACCTATGATTCTAGGAGAATAGCAGTCACAAAATTGCTTACTCCCCTGTCTTAATCTGTTCTCCTTCACTGGCAAACATAGATACTGCTTATTTGTACTCCTCTACTTACTTGAAGCTATTTGAGGAATTCCCTGTTTTTATTTATTTCTTTAATATATTTTTATTGATTTCAGAGAGGAAGGGAGAGAGAGAACAAAGAGATAGAAACATCATTGATGAGAGAGAATCAATGATCGGCCGCCTCCTGCATACCCCCCACTGGGGATGTGCCCTTGACCAGAATCGAACTTGGGACTCTTTAGTCCGCAAGCTGACGCTCTATCCACTGAGCCAAATCAGCCATTGCAGGAATTCCCTGTTTTCAATATAAAAGAAAAAGAAAAAAGATCAAAATTCTTTGTTAACACAAACAAAATAGTGGTGTCCCTATTGAATTGAATAGGGAAAAAGGCATTAGCTTAGTTTATATCATTTAGTTAAGAAATAGTTTGCAATTTAAGATTTCTTTTTATTCCCTTAGAAATCAAAGAAATTTTATAGGAAAAAAAAAAGAACGACACCTTTGCAAGTAGAGAATTTGATTATTGCGACTACAATTATTACTAATTGGAATAATTGGAACTCAGGGAATAAGGGGCATTTAGTCCAACTTTTCATATGTTGCTTAGACCTATCAAAGGCTTTGTAGTATGTATTTGAATAATCTCAGTGAGGAGGTTCTTACCACCTTCAAAGGCAGGGCATTCTCTTTGGACAGCTGATTCCTAAAAACGTTTCTCCCTTTCCTGAGTCAGTGTATCTCTGCATAGAGGACTTGTTTTGCTTTATAATCTTTGAAGTAAACTTTTTCTCCTCAGTTCAGCTAGGACATGGATCATGCTAGTAAATGAATAGTTCCAATTTGTGGTAGAGAATAAGACAGACCCCTTACTCATTTTATTCATTTTTTATTTCTTGTAGACTTCAAAAGCCCATCAACTTTACGTATTTAGAATCAAATTTTTGAAATATTTAAATGTATTTGTATGAATATAATGCACTTTTTCGTGATGATTTAAGATCATTGTTATGAATTTCAGGTACTCTTCTCTCTGGTGATGCCCTCATGGCATGTGGAGTGTTGTAGGACTGTTTTCCTATTCATTCTTATTCAGTTAAAAGACATTTAGTGAGTCACCACTTCCTGGCTTTTTACATGCAAAGAAGATATAGAAATGAATGAGATTGCCAAGACAGCTCAGCTGGGAGAACTTTAGGTTAAAGATATAAAGTTCATTGGTTTGATCTAGAGTTTCAGGGGCTTTGTAATATCTCAACTAGAGGCCTGGTGCATGACATTTGTGCACTTGGGGGGCAGGGGTGTGGAGGTCCCTCAGCCTTGCATATTACCCTTTTATTATATAGGATAAAGCTATCACATAGAAAAAGAAGAAATAATGAAACACACATCTATAATGAGGACTATGTTGTGGGACAGAAATATAATATTTTTCTACTATAATATGGTCAATTCTAAACTAGAAGATAAACCGGGGAGGAGGGTGAACTATAAGGCAAACAGAGAGATCATCCTACCAAGTACACAAACATGTGCTCTGGTATAGGGTCAGCCTGCATGGAGGGTCCCTGGCACAGCAATCATTTCTGCTGGGCTTAAAGCATATGGAAATAAGAGTCAGGAGAATGGGTTGTGAAGGGAACTCTGTGTGGCTTCAGGAGTTTGGACTTTATTCTTTCATAAATTTTAAGTCAGAACACTGATATGATTAGATTTTTTAAAATAAATTCTGATAGCACTGTGGGAAATAATAATAGTGTTTTTAAAACTTTGATCATACATATTATATCTTTGCTTCTTTGCCATATTTGGGCATGCTTTTGGGATGATGAGATAGACCAGCAGGAGCAGGCATAACTGATGGACTGAATTTCTTATACATTTAATGGCCATAGTCTCTGAGTATCTGTGACTGCCTTTTGTGTGTGTGTGTGTGTGTGTGACTGCTTTTTGTAGTTTGTTTTTTTTTAATATATCTTATTGAATTTTTACAGAGAGGAAGGGAGAGGGATAGAAAGCTAGAAACATCGATGAGAGAGAAACATCAATCAGCTGCCTCCGGCACCCCCCCCCCACTAGGGATGTGCCACAACCAATGCACATGCCCTTAACCAGAATTGAACCTGGGACCTTTCAGTCCGCAGATCAACACTCTATCCACTGAGCCAAACCGGTTTCTGCTGCTATTTATAGTTTTAAAGTTTCTCCCTTGTTAACTGATTATCATTTCACATTGGTAATACTCTTGGCAAAGCAAACTTGTTCCCCAACATCCCTTCCAATGTATAGCTAGTTGAAAAATCCAAATAAGCCTGTGGACTGACCCATGAATATAATGCATGACCTTCAGTGAGTTGGTTTGGAGACATCTATTTTAATCCTTAGAGGACTTTTTTCCTGGTTTTGATTTTATTTCAGATCTTTATAACTAAGCCATCCAACAACTTCATATAAATGAAATATAACTCTTATTTGTTTAAAAGATCATAATCACTCATTTAAAAACATTTTAAATTTTATTTTAATGTAGGTGATTGGAGTTGTGCTTCAGAAATTCCAGCAGTTCAACAGTATTTTATCTGCCAACAATAAATTCTTTACTTGACCGAACCATGAAAAAGCTGCTAATGAGACTTGTTGAGCATAAAAACGGACCTGAAGAACCAAAAGCCATTGTTTTCAAATGAAGAATACTGAGTAGCTTTCAGCCTCCATGCTTTTGAATCACCACTGAGATTTCCCCCATAACATCAGAATGGCAAGCAGGCGAAAATCAACAACACCCTGCATGGTCCTTGCCAGTGAACAGGATCCAGACCTCGAGTTGATATCAGATTTGGATGAAGGGCCTCCTGTACTCACTCCTGTAGAAAACAGCAGAGCAGAGAGCATCTCAAGCGAGGAAGAAGTTCATGAATCTGTGGATTCTGACAATCAGCAAAATAAAAAAGTTGAAGGTGGTTATGAATGTAAATATTGTACTTTTCAAACTCCAGACCTAAATATGTTTACTTTTCATGTGGATTCAGAGCATCCCAACATAGTGCTAAATTCCTCCTATGTTTGTGTCGAATGTAATTTTCTCACCAAAAGGTATGATGCACTTTCTGAGCATAATCTGAAGTACCACCCAGGAGAAGAGAATTTTAGGTTGACTATGGTGAAACGAAATAACCAGACAATCTTTGAACAAACTATAAACGATCTGACTTTTGATGGTAGTTTTGTTAAAGAGGAGAACTCAGAGCCGGCTGAATCTACAGAAGTTCCTTCTTCAGGAATTCCTATCAGTAAAACTCCCATCATGAAAATGATGAAAAATAAAGTGGAGAACAAGCGTATTACAGTTCATCATAACTCAGCTGAGGATGTTCCTGAAGAGAAAGAGAAAGAGATCAAACCAGACCTTGAAGAAAGTGTGGAAAATCCTAGTTCTTCAGCTTCTGACTCTAATACCAGTACTTCCATTGTCAACAGAATACACCCAAATGCTGCCAGCACGATAGTGGCCCCAGCAGCAGTTCTTCCTGGACTAGCACAGGTGATAACCGCTGTGTCAGCTCAGCAGAATTCCAATCTGATTCCCAAAGTCTTAATTCCTGTGAGTAGCATTCCTACCTACAATGTTGCATTGGATAACAACCCCCTTTTGCTTAACACCTACAAAAAATTCCCTTACCCAACCATGTCAGAAATTACTGTTCTTTCCGCTCAAGCAAAATATACAGAGGAACAGATCAAGATATGGTTTTCAGCCCAACGTCTAAAACATGGTGTGAGCTGGACTCCCGAGGAAGTAGAGGAGGCAAGAAGAAAGCAATTCAACGGAACAGTACACACTGTACCTCAGACCATAACTGTTATTCCGACACACATTTCCACGGGGAGTAATGGCTTACCATCCATTTTACAGACATGCCAAATAGTTGGTCAGCCAGGCCTGGTTCTTACACAAGTAGCTGGAACAAACACCTTGCCGGTAACAGCGCCGATAGCCTTGACAGTGACAGGGGTGCCAAATCAAAGCCGTGTACAGAAGAGTCAGGCCCCTGCTGCTCCGCCTCCTGCAGAAGCAAAACCAGCAGCAGTAGCCAAAGCAGCAGCAACAGCAGCAGCAGCAGCAACGGCAGCAGCAGCAACAGCCACAGCAGCAAAAGCACCACCACCAGCAGCAGCAGCAACAGCCGCAGCAGCAACAGCCGCAGCAGCAGCAGCAACAGCAGCAGCAGCGGCAACGGCAGCAGCAGCAACAGCAAAGGCAGCAGCAGCAGCATCACCAACAGCCACGGCAGCAGCAGCAGCAACGGCAGCAGCAGCGGCAACGGCAGCAGCAGCAGCAACAGCAGCACCAACAGCAATGGCGGCAGCAACAGCAACGGCAGCAGCAGCAGCAGCAACGGCAGCAGCAGCAGCCACGGCAGCAGCAACTGCAAAGGCAGCACCAACAGCAGCAGTCCCAACTTCTCAGGCTGTCAAACACGAAACCACACCCGCAAACCCCGATTCATTTGGCATTCGGGCAAAAAAGACTAAAGAGCAACTAGCAGAATTAAAAGTCAGCTACCTTAAAAATCAGTTTCCTAGTGACTCAGAAATCAGCAGACTTATGAAAATCACAGGCTTGACAAAAGGAGAGATTAAAAAATGGTTTAGCGACACGAGGTACAATCAGAGAAATTCAAAGAGTAATCAGTGCTTACATCTCAACAGTGATTCCTCCACTCCCATTATTATAGACTCCAGTGATGAGACCACGGAATCCCCAACCGCTGTTACTTCACAGCATAAACAATCCTGGAATCCTTTCCCCGACTTTACTCCGCAAAAGTTTAAAGAAAAGACAGCAGAGCAGCTCCAGGCCCTTCAGGCTAGTTTTCTCAACAACTCCGTACTGACAGATGAAGAATTAAATAGGTTAAGAGCGCAAACCAAACTGACCAGGAGAGAAATTGATGCTTGGTTTACAGAGAAGAAGAAATCAAAAGCTTTAAAGGAAGAGAAAATGGAAATAGATGAAACTAATGCAGGTAGTTCCAAAGAAGAAGCGGGAGAACCTGCTCCTGGAGATGAATCTGGTGCACCTAAGGCCGGGAGTGCAGGCAAGATATGTAAAAAAACACTTGAGCAATTGCACATGCTCAAAAGTGCGTTTGTCCGATCCCAGTGGCCGTCATCGGAAGAGTATGACAAGCTGGCCAAAGAAAGTGGTCTTCCGAGACCAGACATAGTTAGTTGGTTTGGGGACACCCGTTACGCTTGGAAAAATGGAAACTTAAAATGGTACTACTACTATCAAAGCTCCAATTCGAGTGGTCTGAATGGTCTGTCTTCCCTTAGGAGAAGGGGGAGAGGAAGACCCAAAGGCAGGGGAAGGGGAAGGGGGAGAGGAAGGCCACGAGGAGGCAAGAGAATGAACAACTGGGACAGGGGGGCTTCGCTCATAAAATTTAAAACTGGAACTGCAATACTTAAGGATTATTACCTGAAGCACAAATTTCTTAATGAGCAAGACCTTGATGAACTTGTTAACAAATCACACATGGGCTACGAGCAGGTCAGAGAGTGGTTTGCCGAAAGACAGAGAAGATCAGAGTTAGGTGTAGAGTTATTTGAGGAAAATGAGGAGGAAGAGGAAGTTATTGATGATCAGGAAGAGGATGAAGAAGAAACAGATGATAGTGACACCTGGGAACCCCCACAACATGTGAAGCGGAAACTTTCTAAATCAGATGACTGAAATGTAAGTTTTAATCTAAGCATATATTCATCAACCACACACATTTAGCCATCTCCACTTCTGATAGTTTTCTTAAATAGTTATTCTTTTACCTAATAAGAGAACTAGGTACTAGGAGTATAGCCAAAAATTTGTGATTAGCATTTATAGCCTGATTATTATGATTGTTCTGTTTAATATGTAGAGTTTAGTGTTTTTTACTTTGTTTTAAGGGAAAGTCAACCCATTTTCTAAGAAGGGAGACTGGTGGTTATGAGGGAATAAACAGATACTAAAGATAACTAAAAAGTAGTTTTTGTAACCCTCCTCCACTAAAGCTTTATTTTTTGCCTATTTAAGGAAATTAAAAAAGGAAAACAAAAAGAAGGGGGAAAGTACTTGCCACAGGGGTGAGGATTGCTCAGTTCTAAGAAACTAGGTAAAAATGGTATCCTTTTTCTTTCATTGTATTACCCCCCAAACTATTAGATTTTTAACTAAATTTAAAATGCTTTATGTATTAAAAATAACTCAATATTTTTTCTATTAAAAGCCAAAGGTCTATTTTAGACCATATATAAGTTCCATGTTTACTTGGATGGCATCTGTTTTTAAAAACTGTAATATAGCCGAAACCGGTTTGGCTCAGCGGTAGAGCGTCGGTCTGCGGACTGAAAGATCCCGGGTTCGATTCTGGTCAAGGGCATGTACCTTGGTTGCTGGCACATCCCCAGTGGGGGGTGTGCAGGAGCCAGCTGGTCGATGTTTCTCTCTCATTGACGTTTCTAGCTCTCTATCTCTCTTCCTTCCTCTCTGTAAAAAATCAATAAAATATATTAAAATAAATAAATAAATAATAAAAACTGTAATATAAATTATTTCTGTTTTAGAGATCAAAAGGTAAACATCAAATTTGATATTAAATTAACTCAATTGCCTAAAATGTCTTTTCCTTCTTTGATATAAAATAAACCTGCTACCAGCAAAAATGTTGTATTTAGTTAAAAATATCTCCCTATAGTCATAAAAGTGCAAGTAAATATGCTTTAAATGTAAAGGTTTGTCATATTCCTTAAATCTTCATTCTTTTATAGGTTGGATTAATTAAAATGTCACTGTAGTTGCATATCAGATATCTAGTTTGGAGTTAGGACTTCAATTCTTTTTTTTTTTAATATATTTTATTTTTTAAAAATATATATTTTATTGATTTTTTACAGAGAGGAAGGGAAAGAGATAGAGAGCTAGAAACGTCAATGAGAGAGAGACATCAACCAGCTGCCTCTTGCAGACCCCCCACCGGGGATGCGCCTGCAACCAAGGTACATGCCCTTGATCGGAATCTAACTTGGGACCTTTCAGTCCGCAGGCTGATGCTCTATCACTGAGCCAAACCGGTTTCAGCCAATTCTTTATATATATATATATATATATATATATATATATATATATATATATATATAATTGATTTCTTTAAGAAATCAATATTTTCTTTATATATTCTTTATATATATTCTTTATATATGTGTGTGTGTGTGTGTGTGTGTATAATATATATATATATATAATATAATTGATTTCTTTACAGAGAAGAAGGGAGAGAGAGAGAGAGTTAGAAACATTGATCAGCTGCCTCCTACTGGGGATGTGCCCGCAACCAAGGTACATGCCCTTGACTGGAATCAAACACTCTATCCACTGAGCCAAACCAGTTTCGGCAAGGACTTCAATTCTTAATACTTTTGGAATTCAGTAGCTTTGTTCTTTTCTTTACTCTCAGTTTTTGAATGTTCCAGGATAAAACTGTACTTTTCAAAAAAAACAATGCAGTTTTCATGAAATGTTTGTATATGTCTATCAGTAGTCCAAAAGCATCTTATTATCCGAAATTACTGCAGTGTTGTCAGATTGTAAGGGAGGAAACGAGGCGTAGACTCTTATGATCATATGAGCATATTTATGTATTTCCCTAGCTTTTTGCATCCCTATCCCAGCCTCTACTTTTACCTCTTTTTCTGCACAGTATCTCCTTCATTCCTCCACGGCTTCCTTCATGGTTTTATTTATTTTGTTATAACAATTGCTTATAGAGAGCTTAATGTGTCCCAGACACTATTCTTACTGTTTAGCAATCCTTTTCCAAGTTTTCTTTTCATGAACATTTTTTTTTTCAGGCAGAGAAAAAGATGAAACTAAAAATGCACTTACTTTAGAATAAATCTCATGCACTTACTTTTGAATAAATCTCATTCATGTTATAGAATGAACTGTATTGTAGGTTATAAGTTAAATAGCTTTGTACAGCTCTATCCTGAGGCAGTCCTCCATTTCCTAATGTCAGAACTCTTCAGGACAGGCTTTCTTCTGACCCAGATGCATAAAATATTTTTAACAGGCTTTTTCTGTTTTTATTGCTAGACACAAGAATGTGCACTCAGCCAAGATTAAAACAACAACATTTTTGCTGCAATGAATTGTTGTTGTAGTAACCTCTGCAGTGATTTTTTGGGGAATTGCAGTCTTCTAAAACTAATAGGAACTTTTTATATACTTTAGTTTGACTTTTAAGTTTGTGTGGATAATTATTATATGAATACTTTAATAGGTACTATGGTAAAATATTTCACACAAAGCCACAGTTTTCAAAAATTGTGTCATATATGTTATACGTGTACTTTTGTGGTAAACATGCAAACTTGCCTTGCTCTTAAAATATGCAAAAGTCTAGCCCTGGCCAGTATGGTTTAGTGCAGTGGTCGGCAAACTCATTAGTCACCAGAGCCAAATATCATCAGCACAACGATTAAAATTTCTTTTGAGAGCCACATTTTTTAAACTTAAACTTCTTCTAACGCTACTTCTTCAAAATAGACTTGCCCAGACTGTGGTATTTTATGGAAAAGCCACACCCAAGGGGCCAAAGAGCCGCATGTGGCTTGAGAGCTGCAGTGTGCTTAGTGGATAAAGTGTCTACCTGTGGACTGACGGGTCCCAGGATCAGTTCTGGTCAGGGGCACATGCCCAGGTTGTGGGATCAACTTCTGGTTGGGAGTGTGCAGGAGGCAGTCAGTCAGTGATACTCTTTCATTGTTGATTTCAAGGTTTCTATCTCTCTCTCCCTTTTTCTCTCCTCTGAAATTAATAACAATATATTTTAAAATATATATATGCAAAAGTCTGAAATTATAAAGACATTAATTATAAATTATTGGCTTAACAAATTAAGTTTTTACCCTACAAAAGAATTCACTGTAAGTTTCCTCTCAATAGTTACTTTTTCATTTAAATATAGTGCAAGTTACCAAAAAAAGTAACCAAACCTTTCCAAAATAGTTATTGCAAAAAGTGAGATACAGTAGAACCCCCTTATCCTTCCATGATATGTTCCAAGATCCTCACAGATAGTACCAAGCCTCTTATAAACTATGTTTTTTTCCTGTATGTATGTACCTATGATAAAGTCCAATTTATAAATTAGGTACAGTAAGTGATAACAGTAATTAATAAAATAGAACAATTATAATATCCTATATAATAAAAGTCTAATATGCTAAGTGTCTAGTTATCCGGTCAGCCATTCAACCAATCAAAGTGTAATATGCTAATGATATGCTAAGGATGCTCAACCGCTCGCTATGACGTGCACTGACTACCAGGAGGCAGACTGGTAAATTAGCTTGCTGCTGGGGTCCGGCTGATAGGGACTGAGTGAAATGGGCTGGACATGCCCTGGAGCCCTCCGGTGGTCTCTCCCCAACCCTGATCGTGCACTGGTGGGGTCCCTCAGGCTGGCCTGAATCCTCTCGCAATCTGGGACCCCTCAGAGGATATCAGAGAGCTCGTTTCAGCCCAATCCTGCAAGCCATGCTGAGGGACCTCACTGATGCACGAATTCATGCACCAGGCCTCCAGTACTGTAATAAAAGTTATGTGAATGTGGTATCTCTTTCTCTCTGATAACTGATCAGATAATCCAGAGGCAAATGGGCAGGTAGTATATACAATATAGATCTGCTGAACAGAGGGATAATTGATGTCTTGGGCAGGATGGAGGGAGATGATGTGAGATTTCATCATGCTGCTCAGAACAGCGTGCAATTTAAAACTTATGTTTATTTCTGGAATTTTTCATCTAATATTTCTGGACTGTGGTGGACCACAAGTAACTGAAGCCACAGAAAGTGAAATCATTGATAAGGAGCATTACTATACATTTGTGTCTTTTGCACAGTCCAACCTTGTACAGTAAGTCCTCACTTAATGTTGTCAATAGGTCTGTGACTATAAGCGAAGTGATGTATAAGGAAACTAGTTTTACCACAGGCTGATGGATATAAGCAAAAATTAATTTCCTGCAGCATCTCATTATGTTATAACAAAATGGTGTTGAACAAATCAAAGTTATTTGAGGACTTGATGTATATAAATAGAAAAAAAATACAAGAGTTTAGATTTGATAGTTTACTTATTACAGGTACTGACAATGAAATATATACTTACTCATAATTTTAAATTATTTCATATAGGTATATGCAATATAGGTAAAATTATTACATATAGGTGAAAATGACTTTAAAGTAAGTCTAGTATATGCAGAACATATACAAAGGAATTGCACACAAAATCTAGTGCATTATATATTTGGAAGTGATCTCAGTATTACTGAGTGATTACAGAGGATGTGCTTTCATGGCTAATTTCTATTATTTTTATTTCTAAAAGAGGTAAACATTAAAGTATGATTTCCTTTAAATTTTTAGTTTTTTATTGTGTGTGTTGTTTTGTGTGTGTTTTTTTATAGCTGCCTAAAACGTTGGAGGAGAATCAATTCTTCAACTCAAGCTATCTGATTTACTGTGAATGGGCCCAATCTTTAATGACACTGAAACCCTTTGGGAGCATACACATTCTCAAAAAATAGGATCCAGTATCCAAAAGAAATGGAACTTAATGTTGTGCCAAAGTTAAACTACTGCAGCTGGTGGAAGTTCTGCAATGTAAATAGAACACATTAAAAAAAAAAAAAAAAAACTTGTAAAAATTCAAATTTTAATACATTTTTATTCAGATAAGATGGAGACACTCTGATTCTTGGACTTTCAGAGGGGGTTTAATGACCACTAGTGCTTGTCCTCATATTTTGTCTAGTATAATACTGTATATCTGGTGAGATGGACCTTATTGTCTGTATTCTCTGATATGTTATTAAACTTATACTTTGAGTGACCAAACAGTTCCCAGAGTAAAAATGGTTGGAAACAGGAAAAAGAAAAACCTGATTTATTTCTGTCATTTATCAGGCCCTGCATGAAGATGAAAAGTTATGCATGGGCTTATACATTTTCAGTGTAAGTGAAAATACAGCCTTTTGATACATGTTGGCACAATAAGATTTTGTGGTGGTATTGGCCCTTAATGATTAGATCTTTCATGGATACCACTATTACTACTTGTAATGCTTCTGTTACTTGTTTCATTCTAAGCTGAGTTGGATTTTTGTTAAATTGAAGATAACACTGAAAAAGGAGAAGAAACTGGCATAAGAATTTGGATGGGGAGACCCTCTGAAGTGAATGCTATGCCAATCGTATGGAAATCAAACGTTTGTACAGGTGTCAGATCAGAATTTTCAAGAACTATCTTTCAGTGAAATTCAACTTTGTGTAATAACTTCAGTGAATAAAGAAAAAATTCTTAACTGATCATAATGAATTAGAAGTCAGCTTTTCAGGAGTCTGAAAGTTCCTACTAACTTATAAACTTGTAAAAACCGGTGCTGTTCATTCATGTTGAGAAGGACCCTTTCTTTTGTGACTAAGGGACCATTTTTCAAAATGTGCTTTCTTCATAGAAGAAATGTTCAGTTCAGTTAGCTTTGTATTTTATTTTATTTATTTTCATTTACTTTTATTCCTCACCTGAGGACATGCTGAGAGAGAGAGAGAGAGAGAGAGAGAGAGAGAGAGAGAGAGAGAGAGAGAGAGAGAGGGAGAGGGATTGAGATTGGTTGCCTTCGGTAGGGCATGTGCCCTGACCGGGATTGGAACCAGGAACCTTTCGGTGCACAGGACAGTGCTCAACCAACTAAGCCACTCTGGCAGAGCTCAGTTAGCTTTGTGTTTTAAAATGTTGGGGTTTTTTGTTTGTTTTTTTCTGAATGACCAGATGTAGTGGGCTTGGCCAGTTTAATTTAATGGATAATAAATATTAATCTCATGTTTTTACCTAAATGTTTGTCAGCTAATGAAAATGTTATGAAAAAGCCTTGAATATGCATGCTGCTTTCATTTTTATAAACTTTTCATTTTTTAACTATAGCTTTATTAGCAATTCCAAAATGCTGCCATTTAGCTGATTTCTTCGCTCAGACAGCTGGCTTTGTGGGTGGCTTTTTCATACTACTGTTAACTTTTTTAAAAGAAGCAATGTAAAGATAGTAACAATTTAATGCACTAAACTGTTCTTTCTTTTACACATTGAAGAACTTCTTAAAGCTCTCTGTATTATAATAATTAAATTGCTCCTTTTTTTAAACCTTGCTCATGTGGTCTGAGTTTTGCTTGGTAATAATTTTCATGTTTTCAAAATTTGAAATATCAAGTATTAGACAAGTATAAAGCCATTGAATATACTTATATTTCCCTTACAATATGTAACTTTGTATACATGAACTATTGAAATGTTCCTTAATTAAATGGCCCTCAATTCTGCTCTGATGTTTGCTAGATTTTAAATTTATTTATTTGACAGAGCAAAAGGGTTGTTTCCAAAATAAATGCTAGCTGTGATTAGTAGTTTTCATTGATTTCCCCCTCCCATTTTATTAACTTTATTTTTAATCTGGTAAAATACACATAACAAAATTTACCATTATATCTGTTTTTAAGCATAAAAATTCAACTGCATTAATTATATTCATAATGTTGGGCAATCATCCCCACTATTTCCAAAATTTATTCATCATTCCAAACAGAAACCCCGTAACAATTAAGCAATAACTCTCGATTCCCCTCCCCCCAGCCCCTGATAACTTTTACTCTACTTTCTGTTTCTATGAATTTGCCTGTTCTTGATATTTCAAATAAGTGGAATCATAACAATACTTGTCCTTTTGTGTTTGGCTTATTTCATTTAGCATAATGTTTTTAAGGTTCATTCGTGTAGCATATATCAGAGTCTCATTCCTTTTTATGGCTGAGTAGATAATCCTCTGTGTGTGCACCACACTTTGGTTATTCATCTGTGATGGGTGGACTTTGGGTTATTTCTACATTTTGGCTAGAAAAATGCTGTGTTGAACATTTTTACAGACACTGACATATAAAATTATCTGATTGAGTCACTATTTTCAGTTATTTTGTTTATATACTTAAAGTGGAATATTCACCTTAAATATATATATATTACAGAGTAGTTTCACTGCCTGAAAAATCCTGTGCTTCTCCTATTCATCTTTCTCTTCCCCAAATCCCTAGTAACCACTAATCTTTTACTATCTTCATAGTTTCACATTTTCTAGAATGTCATATATAGTTGGAAGCATATAGAGTGTAGCCTTTTTATTTATTTAAATATATTTTATTGATTTTTTTTTTTTACAGAGAGGAAGAGAGAGGGATAGAGTTTTTAAAATCTTTTTTTAAGCTATCAACTGGACACTTAATATATGCCAAGCACTAGGTTGAGAGAATTACTTGATTAATCTCAGTCCCAATGGATAGTCCATGAGGTAGGTAGATGCTATTATTATCCCCATTGTATTGTTGGTGAAACTGAGGGTCACAAAGGATCCGATTCACATACAGTGTCAAACCTGAACCGTCTCTAGAGCTCTCGCCCTTAACCATTGCCTAGTCAGTGCCTTCACAATATTGTTACTCAATAAATGTTCATCAAACTGAACTAGAGATTGTGAGTTTGGGAGTCCGGAGAGAAGAAAAGCAATGCCAGACTGGCTGTGCACATATCTGGTGCTGGCGGACAGTGTCTGTCTTTGGACAACAGCCTGTGATACTGGAATGAAAGGAACTGAGCTATCCCCTGGGAAAATTTTGTTTGGCACAAGATTTGCAGCCTGAATAAAAGGGCATTAAATTGAGATTGGGAGTGGGAGTGGGATGGGGGAGACGCAAAGAGGCTAAAACTCAGCTACATACTTCATATGACAGCCAAGGGAGTGACAGGGAAATAACCTGCCACCAGGGGCACCATGCACAGTCATTGCAAGAAAGTACAGCCCAGATGTAGTACGATACACATGGAGTTCTGTATCATTAGATTACTCATTCATTCAATAAATGCGTACTGAGCACACAATAGACTGCCTCGCTCTCCTGTCTCAGGCCATGCAGCTGGCTCTCCTTTTTGCTTGCTCAGCCTCAGCACCACAGCTTGCTTTCTGCTCCTCGTTCTTGCAGCTTTTCAGAAGTTCTTGCTTCCACCTGCAAGGCTACCTCCAGATGTCCTCTTGGCCAGCTCCTCTTCACTCCAGGCTCAGCCCAAAGACCACCTCTTCACAGGTGCCTTCTCCGGCCACCCTCCCTGAAGCAGGCTCTTTCTCACCTCACTCTCCCACTTCCATGTACAGCACTTACCACAGTCTCAAACTACTTTGTTCGTTTATTTCCTTGTTATTTGCCCACTAGAACTTGAGTTCCATGGAGCAAGGATCTTGCCTGTCTTATTTATCACTATCCTCCACTCTGAGGATACAGTCCTTGGCTTAGAGCAAGTCTCAAGAAATTTTAGTTGAATCAATGAATGTACCTATTATAAAAATGTACTGACTATGGGAAATAAATGAGAGAGCTCAGTATGCTAAGATCTATATATATAAAAGCCTAAGTGACTGAACAACCGAATGACCAAACAACTGGTCACTATGATGTGCACTGACCACCAGGGGGCAGACACTCAACACAGGAGCTGTCCCCTGATGGTCAGTGCACTCCCACAGGCGGGCTCATGGCTGGCAAGCACAGCTCCGGCGGCGCCAGCCTCTCTGCCTCCGCTACAGTGCTATGGAGCCGCTGGAGGCAGCAGCGGGTGCAGCGGAGCTGGGATGAGTGGGACTGGCACCCGACCTGGGCTCTGGCTTCTCCCTGGCCACCTGCTGCTTTGTGCACTACTACATCCCTTGGGGGATGTCAGACTGCCAGTTTCAGCCCAATCCCCATAGCCTGCGGGGATAAGGCTGAAACTGGCAGTCTGACATCCCCTGAGGGGTCCTGGATTGCAAGAGGGTGCAGGCCAGGCTGAGGGACCCCATCAGTGCACAAACCCATGCTCCAGGCCTCTAGTAAGTTAATAAACACCCAGGAGAATTAGTGGATGATACATACCAATAATGGAAGGGTATGTTTTGCTAAAACAAAACAAAAACAAAAAGAAAAAGATGGAAAAGGGGAAAAAGCAATATTTACAAATATCCGAGCAAGCAGAGAAAGGGGGGCTCAGAGAAAAACAGCCTGGGTAAGAAAAGGAGGGGGAGAGATGTGATTTCATTCCGGAAGGTGTTCTGCTGGTTGCTAAGCCCCATTATTCTCTATCCCACCATGTTGCCACAATCTGTAATTAAGTAATTTGCTTGCTCAGATGTGTATCATGTCTTCTCCACCTTAATTTAGGCTCCTTGAGAGCAAGGACCATGAGTGATCGGTATATCCTCATCACCTGGCACAGAGCAGGCCCTCAAGAACACACTGGGTTATGCACAGAATGCTTAATGAATACTGTGTACCAAGTGCTGCCCTGGAGGAGCATAGGGTGTAGAGGGAGAGAGGACTCCCATGCAAACAGTGTAACAACCCATTCAACAAGGAGTGAAGGCCTACTGGGTGCCAGACACTATGCTTGGTGCTAGACAGAGAGATGTCCCTGCCTAGAATGAGGTCGTGGTATCCTGGGAGTGAGGGACAAGAACCCATGGACAGGAGCTGTATGAGATGAGAAATGCCCTGTCTGAGAGAACCACGTGGTGTTATGTGAACCCAGACAAGGAACATGTAACCAGACTTGGGAATCAGGAAAGGTTAATGGGAGGCAGCAAGATGGAGCACACTGGGAGGGTCCTCTTGACAAAAGAGATGGTGAGGTGGCACATGTAAGGGCAGGGAAGGTTGAGGGGAAAACTCAGGGAGGTCGATTCCAGGGAGGACCAGCTTGGCTGGAGAGCAGTAATTCAGTTAGGGGGTGGGTAGTGGATTAGGTTCCCCTAGGGTGAGCGTGTGGAACAGAAAACTGTGTTGAAGAAAGAACCCTGGAAGACAAATGGTGGAAGAGGAACTCGTGAGATGAGGACCAATAGGAAGAAAACTAAAGAAAAGCTCCATGCCCGTTACCTGCTGTGTAATGCGGCACAGTAACACTGTGCTGTGCAACATCGGGTGGCACTCTGTCAACACTCTCTGCTTCCTAGTCTCAAGAACACCTTGAAAGTATAAAAATGCTAGTAAATATTAGTTTTAGAATTCTGGGATTTACTGTTCTCTCCAGGCAGAATGAGTGCTCTCGAGTGGAAGCCTGGAGTAAATATATCCTCTGGTTTTTATTCTGGTCTTTGTTATTGGTGGTGGCTCTTCTATGGAGACTTGGGGAACACTGACTCATTTACTTCCCAGCTCTTAGCCACTTGATAATTGATCCTGAGCAAGTTACTTACCCTCTATAAGCCCAATATCTTTATTTGCAAAATAGGAATCACTGTGTCTTTCATAAGGAAAGGATATAAAGTGCAAAAAAAAAAAATGCTTAATACAGTGTCAAAGAATATCGTCAGCGGTGAAAAAAAAAATGGTACCTACCGATTTTACACAGCTACCCTGGGGCTGGTGCTTTTTGATGCGAACTCATAAGGAACGCTCTGCCCAACTCCTGAAACCGAGAGGTCAAACTCTGTCCCCGAGTCCGGTCATTGTGTGAGTCAGATAAAAAAAATCTCAGCTCTACAAGGACTCCCAACCTGCAGTGAGCTCCCAGAGACTACAAATCCCAGCATGCAGCGCTCCGGGCCGTGGCGGCCCCGCCCCTTCGCGTTGGCCCGCACGTGGGCGCCGCTCTAGGCACCGCCTCCTCTCGGTGCCCCCGCCGCGGGCGCGCCATGGAGACCGGGTGCTGGTTGCTGGGCGGCGAGTTCGAGGACTCGGTGTTCGAAGAGAGGCGGGAGCGGCGCCCGGGGCCGCCCGCGTCCTACCGCGCCAAGCTGTGTGAGCCGCGGGTGAGAGGGCGGGGCCTCTTCGCCACCTCCCGGCCCCCCAGGCCTCGCCTGGGCCCCCGGGCCTGGCTTCCGCGGGTCCCGGCCCCGGGGCCCACCTGGCCCCCCGTTATCTCTAACCCCTGCGGGCATCGGGGGCGCAAGGAACCCCCGCGCTGTCGCCATGAACTGGCCGCGGGCGCTCGGCGGGTCTGGCGGGGACGCCCTGGTCTCCCCACCCAGCTGTCAGCTCTGCGGGCCCCGCGGGCCAGGCCTCAGCGCCCCACAGACCAGCCGCCGCCCCCTTCCCAGCCTTAGTGTCCGCCCCAAAGGCGACGCCCTTCACCCCAGGGAGCCGGTCCTCCTCCAGCCATGCCCCCTCCCTGCCCCCGTGACATCGCTCTGAGGGTCAGAATCCCTCAGCTGTATCCATTTCTCAGGTCACTTCTTAAACGCTGTCTCCTTCAAGAAGTGTTTTCTCGTATTTTTAAAAGTTAGAGAGAGAGAAAGAGAGAGAGAGAGAGAGACAAACAGGCATCAATGATGAGAGAGAATCATTGGTCGGCTGTCTCCTGCTCGCCCCACACTGGGGATCAGCCCACAATCTGGGCTCATGCCCTGACCAGGAATGGAACCCTGACCTCCTGGTTCACAGGCCAATGCCCAACCACTGAGCCACACAGCCCTGGCCAAGAAGTGTTTTCTCATATTTTTAAAAATTACTTTAGAGAGGGAGAGAGAAAAAGAGAGAGAGATCAATGATGAGAGAGAATCATTGCACGCCCCACACTGGGGTGGCCTGACTAGGAATGGAACCCTGACCTCCTGGTTCCTAGGTCAACGCCCAACCACTGAGCCATGCAGGCCGGGCCAGGAAGTGTTTTCTGATTTCCCTTTCCATCCCGAAATTTTTATCTTTGACTCCTTCCACCACCACCCGCCCCTTTTAGCTTCTGTCAAAACACAAAGCACCTGCCAGCGTCCCATAAAGCTCTTTTAGACCCAGAATGCTAAACGGTCACCTGACGGTGGGCGCTTCATGAATGCCTTTCAAAGTGGAGAGGCATCATATTATTGGCATGTTTATCAATTATGGTCAGTTTCATAAAAACTGGGCGGAGGGGGCATCTGTGAGGGAGAAAAGGGGACATGGTTAAAATCGTCACTCCTCTATGCCGGGATGTCTTCCTCTTGAGTCTCATCCCGAAGAAGTGTGTCTTTTTTGAGACTTAATCGTTTATTTATGGAAAATGGCTTCTGCGTATGAGTTGGAAAAGCACAGCCTCTGTAATACCCTCTTTTCACAATTTCTAGTGGTTTTATGGGGAAACGGAGAGCAGTGATGATGTGGAAGCTCTGACGGTCAAGAAATTCAGAGGGGACCTGGCCTACCGGCGGCAGGAGTATCAGGTAGGATTCTGCGTGTGTAAGGCTGCGCTGCTTGAAAGGGGCTCTTGTTCCTTAAGTTAGGGCCGTGGTCGGCAAACTGCGGCTCTTTGGCCCCTTGAGTGTGGCTCTTCCACAAAATACCACAGTCTGGGTGAGTCTGTTTTAAAGAACTGGCATTAGAAGAAGTTTACATTTAAAAAATGTGGCTCTCGCCGAAACCGGTTTGGCTCAGTGGTAGAGCTTCGGTCTGCAGACTGAAAGGTCCCAGGTTCGATTCCGGTCAAGGGCATGTACCTTGGTTGCGGGGACATCCCCAGTGGGGGGTGTGCAAGAGGCAGCTGATCGATGATTCTCATCGATGTTTCTAACTCTCTATGCCTTTCTCTTCCTCTCTGTAACAAATCAATAAAATATATATATTTTTAAAAAAGATACTTTAAAAAAAAGAAAGTATTATGTATGTTACTCCCCCAATGACCTCCCCACCAACCTGCCACTTTCCACCCCAGGCCTTCAGCACCCTAGTGCCTGTGTCCATGGTCTGTCCTTTTCTTTTTTTAAATATGTTTTTATTTATTTCACATAGAAAAGGAGAGGGAGAAAGATAGAAACATCAATGATGAGAGAGAATCATTGATAGGCTGCCTCCTGCACACCCCCTACTGGGGATCAAGCCTGCAACTGGGCATGTGCCCTTGACCTGAATCGAACCCAAGACCCTTCAGTCCACAGGTGGATGCTCTGTCCACTGATCCAAACCGGCTAGGGCTGGTCTGTCCTTTCCTATGAGGTTCTATATAATTTGTTTTGTTTCTTGTAACTCCAGTATAGGAATCTTTTGGGGATCCTTGTAGTTCGGATTATCCAGGCTCTGTATCTCCTCGTTATGTGGGAGCCCCTATCACAGACACCTCTTAGTGCCCCAGAGGCAAAGCACCCCAAAGTGTGTACGAAAAGGGAGAAACTGACAGCTGGGTACCAGCTCTACATGTAGATCTCATTTCATCTTCATAGGAGTCCTGTTGTCATTTTGCCGATGAAAAGGTTATATAGCAAGTTAGTGGTAGAACCAACATTCAAACCATGGTCTGTTTGGCTCCAGAATGTTCTTCCTACTATACCACGATGTTTTCCATGGTAGTAGTGATTTTTTTTCTCCAGCCATTTATCTTCTGCCTTTGAGAAAAATACCACTGACTGAAATCCTCAGGTCTTTCTTAGTTCATTGTTAGGGTCAGTTATGACATTACCTGAGTCCTTTCTTCTGTGTTTTCTGCTTTTCTTTTCATCCCTCTTTTCATTTTGTCACCCGAACAAATAATGGCCAGAAAGCACTGCAGGAATATTCCAGCATCTCTGACAAGCTGCCACCCACAAACGTTGCCATGAAGAGGGATGCCCAGGAAGGCCAGGCCCGGTGCCTCGCTCGCCTCGGAAGGCACGCAGAAGCGCTGGCCATTGCTACGAACTTGGTGAGTGGTGGCATGGCTTTTTTCTGCTTGTTTTCCTGAGATGGTTGAATATTTTCTGAGACAAAACAAAACCAGCTTCTTGCTCACAGCAAGATCTGTGGGTTGGGAGGAGCAGAAGAAAATTGCCAGTAATGTGAGAACTCTATGATGGTGAACATTTTGGAGCTCTGGACATAATCATTTTCTTGTCATGTTTCTTCTTGATTATGATAAAAATCCTTCATTGCCTGAAAATCTCATTTGCAAAGGTTTTACTCTTGTTAGGAGTAAATACTGATGGAAGGATTATCAGTGATCTGTTTCCTTCTTTAGGTTTTATTTTTCAAAATTTCTACAATGAACATGTATTACTTTTGTAAAGGGGTGGAGTTTACCGAAAAAAAAAAAAAATGACTAAAGATAATACTTCACCAAGCTTTAATAATCCCTTATTTTAGCTTTGAGCAGTGGCAATATCGTAGACAATGAGGTTTATCTGAGTCATGATTATTGCTAATAGGGGGGGAAATCTTTTTTCCTTAAATGGAATTTGCAGAATGTTTTTAAGGGATAAAGAAAAGCAACTCTTTGCAATTCTACATTCTGCTTGTTTTTGTTTTCAGGTTAAGGCCTCTCTGGTTTACTTCTGGTTATTTGTGTAAATTTTATAGGGGTTTGATCTCAAGTAAACAGTCCTGGTTTATAGATCGCCAGTGTTCCTCCTCAAAGGGAACTAATGAGGCATGTCGCTGATCTTGACCGCTGTGGACCTGGTCGACCAAGGTCAGCCTCGAGTGTGCATGCATCTGAGCTGTCCATGCATCTGAGCTGTCCTCTTTCCGGTTAACTGAAGGTTATCACTGAGCGGTTCATCGCATAGGATCTCCACCTCTTGCAGTGAGAGGAAACCTTGGGGTAATTGTCTTCAAACATGGAAAACAGCTGCATTTTCTCCTTTCTTTTTCTCCCTTCTAGTGATTGTGGGTTAATTGGATGCATATTGTTGCAAAAACTTGTTTCTTAAACAATTTAAACATCTCATAGTGGTGTGTGATATGTTCTCCACCGACATGCCAATTCCACATGTGCCCAGGTCTGGGGCTAGTGCTGAGGAGACAGATAAGAAAGTCTCTCCTGCACATCCATTGCCCACCGGGGTCCAGAGGGAGAACCCTCGCCTGTTACCGCGTCAGCTTCCCTGTGACTTTATTCTTTACGCCCAGTGACTGCCTGGCTCTGCTGCTTCCTCGCTGTGTGAGGTCATGCAGCTTCTCTAACTCCTTTGCTGAGACTCATTGGCCTCATCTGTAAAATGGGGCTGAAAACAGAATCTGTCCTAAGGGATTGTCATGAGGATTAAGTGAGTCGAGCACTTCAATGAGCTACGCCTGGCACATGACAAGCACTCAGTGAATATTAGCCAGTCATCATCGCATCCCAGAGGAGGTGCAGTATTCCAGAACACTCACACCCAGTCATCTACGTGGAATTTAACATCCGCAGAGTTACTTACTAATGATGCTGTCAGAACCCTCCCACCAGAATGGTAGTTTGTATGTAACATCTCTGCCCCAACACACACACACTTGCTTTCTCATTAGGAAATGTTTTTACACAGTTTCATATTGAAGGCCCACAGGGAGGTTGTAGAACGGCAGTGTGTGGTTCAGGTGTCCAGTCACATACTGTCCTTACTGTACATGAAGGGCGGGAGGAGGTATGACTCAGCGGTTACTAAGCGTCTGCTGTGTCTGAAGTGCTGTGCTCTGTGCTCGGGCTCAGCCTTGAACGGAAACCCTCTAGGATAGGGGTGTCGAACTCAATCAGAGAAGGGGCCAAAATCTAAAATCCAGCCTAAATCGCGGGCCGAATGGTTTACTGAACAGTCATAAACTGTCATTGTGATGGAAACGCAGCGGAGTGCAGTGATGATAGTGCGGTGCGGGCCACATTGCAAGGCCTGGCGGGACGGATTTGGCCCGCGGGCCTTGTGTTTGACACATGTGCGACGTCCTGGACTGTCGGGAAGACAATACTCAACAAGAGTAGCAGTAACACCAGGCAGGTCTGTCGCTTGGCAGACGGTGTGACCAGGTCGGCAGCGTGGGCTCTTTCCGTCTTTCCACTCAGCACGCACTGCCGAGAGCCGCCCAGGCTTCCGCTCCCTGAGGTGCCGGGACCTGGGCAGCAGCCTGGGCAGTTCCACTCGGTGCCGTTTTCCGCAGCCGCTCCATTTGCACACTGGACAGCCAGGCTTTCTGTGACTTAAAACCAACTGAAAGGCCATTTAGTCTGCTGTCTGCTCTCCAGGCTTGAACTTAGAAAAGAAGGTTTGTTTTCTGTAACCCCCGGGGCTTTTACCATATGGCAAGTTAGGCAAGAGGCGGTGGCTCTGCTAAGGAGACCGCAAAGGACTTTCTGATCAGAAGGAAACCAAGAACCCCCCGGAGCCAATAACACCGGCCTTGGGCAGAGCAGGGAAGGCATATGGACTCACTCACGATGCAGCATGAGCTTCCGGCTGTCCTGCTGGAGATCTAAGCCAAGGACATTGGACAGAGTTCATTCGAATCCTCAAGGAAATGGCCATTTGGGTTTTCAGAAAGCCTGGAATCTTACTAGTAAAATGGAACCGTTAGCCTAGGCCCATGATTGGCACACTGTGGCTCGTGAGTGTGGCTCTTCCACAAAGTACCACAGCCTGGGCGAGTCTCTTTTGAAGAAGTGGCGTTAGAAGAAGTTTAAGTTTAAAAAATTTGGCTCTCAAAAGAAATTTCAATCGTTGTACTGTTGATATTTGGCTCTGTTGACTAATGAGTTTGCCAACCACTGGCCTAGGCCCTAGAGTATCAGAAAGTTGGCTTGGGTCTCTTAGCTGTGTGGCTGAAGGCAATGAAGATTATAATAGCCCTGCCGAAACGGGTTTGGCTCACTGGTTAGAGCACCGGTCTACGGACTGAAAGGTCCCAGGTTCGATTCCGGTCAAGGGCATGTACCTTGGTTGCGGGCACATCCCCAGTAGGGGGTGTGCAAGAGGCAGCTGATCGATGATTCTCTCTCATCGATGTTTTTTTTTTTTGTTTGTTTGTTTTAAATCAATCTTTATTGTTCATATTATTACAAAGGTTCCTCATTTCTTCCCCCCTCCACCAGGTTCCCACCCCACCCTCCGCCCCCTACCCATCCCCCATTGTCCTTATCCATAGGTGCACAGTTTATGTTCAGTCTCTTCCTCCCTCCCTTTCCCCGATAGTAAATCCCTTTTCAGATAGTAAATCAGTTACTTAGCATTTTCTCATATCAATAATACCTCCACATGCCCAATGATACACTTCACACAAAAGACATTTCCAAATAGGTCAACCAGCCTCATCCAGGCCCCACCCAAGGCACTCACAGATCAACACCCCAGCGCTATACTAACTCAACACATCCAGATCTAAGCCTTCATCACTTGATTCAGCAGACCCTCAAGTTCCCCAAAAAGTTTCCAGTCATGTCTGAGAGGCAGCCGTGGGGCAGGGGTAGGCGAGGAGCAAGCTGTTCCGGGCCTGGCTGCTCTGGGCCTGGCCTCTGTTGCTCTGGTTCGTTCCACAACCAGCTGCTCCGGGTCCGGTCACCGCCACTCCCGACCTAGTTGCTCTGGACTTGGCTGCTGCTGCTCCGGGCCTGGCCGCACCCGACCCGGCTGCTCCAGGCCTGGCCGCTCCCAGCCTGGCCGCTCCCAGCCTGGATGCTCCGGGCTTGGCTACTGCTGTTCTGGGCCTGGCTGCTCCCAACCCAGCTGCTCTGGGCCCGGCTTCTCTGGGCCCGGCCACTCCGGGTCTGGGCGTTCCTGGACTGGCCACCCTGGGCTTGGCCGCCTCTGCCTCAGGCCTGGCTGCCACTGCCCCAGGTCTGGCTGCTCCAGTGCTGGCTGTTGATGCTCTGGTTCTGGCTGCTGCTGCTCCGGGGCCTGGCCGTTGCTGCTCTGGGCCCAGATGCCACTGCCTTGTGCCTGGCCACTCTAGGCCTGGCCGCCGCTGTTCCAACATTCTGTCCTTTTTTTTTTTTTTTTTAAACGCATTTATGTTGCAATGTTGGCTGGTGAGTTGAGTTCTGACTTAGTCTTTGATTTTTCAAGATCTTCTTTGTATTCTTTCTTAGGTAATTTTACTATCTTTTGCTTTCACTTGATTTCTTCACATTGAGAACTTCTTTGGTTTCTTCCTCCTTGTCCCGGGAGCTCAGCAGGTTGGCCTGTGGCACCCCTTTGTTCTCCGCGGGCTCCTGCGCTGCTTCAGCCTGTTGCCAGGGTCGGCGCCGCCCAGGAACCAGCCCCCGGCCTTGGCTCCATTGCCCACGCTCAGCGGTCGAGGGCTCAGGGGCACCCCCCTCCCCCCGAGGCCCCGTCACCCGGCTCCTTGCTGGTGCCCGGCTGGCCGGTGTCCGGCAGGGGCTCCTGCTCCTCGTCGCGTTCCTCCAGTCTGGAGCTTTTTTTCTCCTTCCCTCTAGGGGAGTCTAGGATCAGAGTCAACAGACTGTCCTCTGCGTGCAGTGTGCGCGACTCTGGGGGCTCCGCTTTTCACCGCTCCCCTGGGATTCCGCCTCACAGCCCCGTCTCCCCCTGCCTGAGCCTGGGTCCTCAGGGTCTGGCCTAGGACTGGGGTTCAGAGCAGTCGAAACTGGGGCCCAACACGGCCGGGGCTCCTGTTTCCTTCCCTCCAGGGCAATCCCGCATCAGAGTCAACATTCCTTCCCTTGTAAGCAATGTGCGCGACTCCGGGGGCTCGGCCTTTCGCCGCTCTCCCAGGACTCCACCTCACAGCCCCATCTCCCCCTGCCAGAGCCTGGGTCCCCAGGGATTGGCCTAGAACTCGGGTTCAGAGCAGTCCGGACTGAGGCTTTGTTTCTTCCGGCTAGGGTAATCCAGCATCAGAGTCAACATTCAGTCCTCTGCGCGCAATGTGCGCGCAACTCCGGAGGCCCTGCTTTTCACTGCTCCCCTGGGATTCCGCCTCACAGCCCCGTCTCCCCCTGCCGCAGCCTGGGTCCCCAGGGTCTGGCCCATAACTGGGGCTCAGCGCTGCCAGTTCGGGGGTTCAGCCCAGGCTGGGGGTTTTATTTCCTTCCTGCTAGGGAACGCCAGGCAGCACCCAGCCCTCTCCTCCTCTCCGCGCGCGGGTGCATGCGGGCGCACAGCATGTCTCTGTACCTTAGGCTTTTTTTCAGCTCCTCTGATTTTCCTCTGGTTTTCTCTTTCCTTCTTGTTGTAGAATTTTCAGTCAGTCGACTACCTGTAGCTCTGGGCAATGTCCACTCTACATTTTAGTTGTATTCCATTGAAATTGTTGTGTGCTGCTGCGGTTAGATGTCTACCTGAGCAGCCATCTTGGATCCTCCTCTCATCGATGTTTCTAACTCTCTATCCCTCTCTCTTCCTCTGTAAAAAATCAATTTAAAAAAATTTTTTAATGAAAAAAAAAAAAAGATTATAATAGTCCTAACCGGTTTGGCTCAGTGGATAGAGCGTCAGCTTGCAGACTGTGGTTTGATTTCAGTCAAGGGCATGTACCTTGGTTGCAGGCACATACATCCCCAGTAGGGGGTGTG